AAGCATAAGAATTCTAGTACAGTCATAGTGAGAAAAATTAGGCTTTATGCAGTGGAAATCCAAATAGGACTATATACCGCATCTAATTCTTACTTATCCAAAATTGTAAACAAACCCTTAGATGGAACTACGAACTGATAAAGCGAGCAACATGATCATGCGTCCTTTATTTAGTTGATGAAGTCGTATGGATCAAAGACAGTGACTTCTTCTGAATATAACAGTGGTAGTGAACAGAGGGCAGAGTGCACATATAACCTGTTGTTAGTTAAATAATCTGCAAAAACAAAAAACAAGAAAATGTGGGTGGAAATTGAATATGGATATCATCATAGTACGTGTGCACTTGTCACATAGCCAATTTTGAAATCAAAGGCTGTGTTTAGTTCGCGAAATTTGGGAATTTGGCTACTGTAGCACTTTCGTTTTTATTTGGCAATTAATGTTCAATCATGGACTAATTAGGCTCAAAACGTTCGTCTCGCGATTTCCAACCAAACTGTGCAATTAGTTTTTTTTCGTCTACATTTAATGCTCCATACACGTATCGCAAGATTCGATATGATGACTACTGCAACACTTTTTGGGAAATTTTTTGGGAACTAAACACAGCCCAAGATGTATTGGTAGTAGTTCGGTACTACGAGAAATGCCAAATCAGGTGATGCCAGGACAGCTGTAAATGGAAAGTTGGAGGAAAAGCTTGCATGCCCAAAAGGCCAAAACCAAAAGGGAACACAGATGTCCAGACCACTATGGAAGAAGAGAACTAGAGAACCATCAACACCTTCCACTCGTCAGTGATCAGCCATGACTGGCAAGCGCAAGTGAGCAACCACACAGCTCATGGTCCACAGCGGACAGCTATATTTCCTTCGGCAATCAGCATTATTAGTACACAGCTGCCGTGTGTCTGAAGGTTATGCAGGTAGATCTGCTCTGCACAATGCCGACACATGGACGACGATTTTACAGATTCTCTTCTCTATATATAGCGACATGAACTTTTCTTTGAGGAAAAAACCGATCATCTTTTCAGTCCCAGATGAATTCAGTAGATGTCAAACAGGATATAATGTTTATAGTGGTAATAAAAAAATCAGACAGAGGTGTAAACTTACTTTGGCATTCTTTGCGTTGTGTTCTTGTGCGTACAGCTGTGCTCGATCAGCCTAGTGGCAGGTCTGCTGATGTGCCTGTACAGCGCGGCGAAGATCACGCACAAGACGCAGGCGATGACGAGCGTGGCGGCGGCGTGGCACGCGGACGTCACGGTGCACGCCTTCGACAACGACCAGGAGAACCCGGACCCGGACCCGGACCTGCCGCCCACCGCGGGCTACCTGGCGCCCGCCAACGCCTACCGCGTGGCCGCCGGTGACGAGTCCGCCAGCGACGACGACAGCCGGAGCGAGTGCTCCTCGCTCGACGACCCCAAGTACGTGCCGTTCCAGGCCAACAACATCAGCTTCCAGAAGAGGCAGGCGCTGGGTAAGCAAACTACCACAGACTGTATCTGTATGCTGTTGCTGCTCCTTCTTGCATTGCTGACGGCCGCCGGCCGATATGAATTGAAATGCAGTGACGTACCTGGAGAACAACCGGGCGGGGATCACGGTGTACGGCTTCGTGGTGGACCGGGCGTGGCTGCACGCGCTCTTCATGATCGAGTTCTCGCTCGTCATGTGGCTGCTCGGCAAGACCGTCGGCATCTCCTGAAGCCCTCCCACCCATCTTTTGCCGGCTGGCTCCTGTCAGATGCAGATGCAGAGTTTTCACTGGAGGAATGTACAAAATGAGTGCAGATAGTAGAGGATATTCTGATGGAGAACAGCTGCTTTGATTTGTAGGTTCATTCGATAGCTCGTACGTACTTTGTTAGATGTCGATAGTGAGTATGTGAGGAGTTGTCCAGGCTGTTTGTTTTGACCAGTGCTGAGTGCATATACCCTCATGAATGACTCGAACCACTTGTCTTTTCACTACGTGTCCTCCATCCAACTCCAGTATGGGCGCGTTTAGTTCCCAAATTTTTTTTGGGTTTGGCTACTGTAGCATTTTCGTTTGTATGTGGTAATTAGTGTTTAATTATGGACTAATTAGGTTTGAAAGTTTCGTCTCGTGATTTCTCACCCAACTGTGCAATTAGTTTTTTTTTCATCTATATTTAATACTCCATACATGTGCCACAAGATTCGATGTGACACTTTGGGGTGAAAATTTTTAAAATCTAAACAGGGCCTATGTCTCTTTTGGTAACTGTCACCTCATAGACACAAGTGATACTCGTACTGTGATGTGCTGTGGACAGTGGAATGGAATTTGTAAGGAAAAGAATCAGCTCCTCCTGAGTAAACATGTTTCATCCCAACTTGATGCACTATGTTCTGCAATGGCAGAAAGGGAAAGAAAGCTCAAGGTTTCGCAAAATCAATGCAAGACAGCACCGGGAATGCTGAACGTTAGAAGCATCTGTTACAGAGACAGTAGTATTGATGACAGATATGTGTTACAAAAATGTCACTTCGCTTGGCCTCTCTGTCTTCTATCCTGTCCCCGGCTCTGAATCATCGAGTCTCCAGTAGAGACTACAAGAATTCAAAGTCGTCATCCAAGCTACCAAGTCAATCATCACACTCTGCGTCTGTCATCTGAGGACGTGAAAAAGTTGAAGTCTTTCCTCCAAGTCAGAGTTATCTCCATCAGTTTTTGCCACCACCATGATGGCATGATAACAGCTCCTGGGTTCATGTCCGTGACAGTGCCGGTTGCATCCTGCCGCTTTCACATTCAGGCCTTGTTTAGTTTACATCAAAATTCCAAGTTTTTTCACTCTCTCTCCATCACATCAATTTTTAGCCGCTTGCATGGAGCATTAAATGTAGGTAAAAAAAATAACTAATTGCACAGTTTAGTTGGAAATCACGAGATGAATCTTTTGAGCTTAGTTGGTCCACAATTGGACAATATTTACCAAATAAGACGAAAACGCTACTATTCATCAGGTTGCAATTTTTTGCAATCTAAACATGGCCTCAAACTCTTTCCTTCACAGATGTCAGGGAGAATTAACTTCTCAGGTGGCATCTTCACACAACCATCCAGGCAGCAAATAGCAATAACCGCCAGGAACCCGTTCAAACTGTTCAAAAGAATATTCCATTTGATAAGAAATGAGACGTTCACTCTGCTTCACATAATCACGTATATCTAATCTGCCTATTATATACAGTCTGTTTGCTTGACGGTTTCAGGCAGAGTTTATCAGCCATGGTACAGTGTTTTTCTCTCGCAACAAACCAGCATCAGCCGGGCTTATCAGCCCAGAAATCAACCAGCGAACAGGCTGATAGTACACGTCAGGATATAAACTAGATTAGAGGTTTGATGCTTTAACCGGCTTTCACCCAATAAGGGCCTCGTGTTTAAGAGGATTCCAATCTAACCATATAAATCCCAAGGAATTAGTATTGTGACATCTACTTTTTGTTTCAGCAATCCAATTGGTGTGCTCACACATAAATTGAGCCTGGCTATGGCAGGCTTGAGCTATACAAACAAAGGATAATCAGTCTGTTCGCTTGTTGGTTTCAGTCAGGGCTTATCAGTCAGCCATCAGTGTTTTCCTCTCACACCAACCCAGCACCAGCCGGGCTTATCAGCCCAGAAACCAATCAGCGAACAGACCAAATAGCAACAACCTAAGCCCACATTACCCCCATGCTTCATGAACTTGAATCGATTAGTATACAGAAACTCTTAAGTTGGCATTTGTTTCTAGAGTTATTGGAGACGGCATGCCAGTGGAGCTTAGAATTTCCAAGCCATTCCAATTAACCGTTCCCTTGCATAAAATGAGTTATCTGTCAAATTTAAGTTTCTAAATCAGTCCCTGATGATTGTCGTACTAGCAAGTTTAGATTTTAACACGCATAAGCCCAAATAACATAATCATCACAGATAGGCCGGCGCTAAAGGAAACCAATCAAATCATCTTGTCTACACGGTTCTACAAACAAATGAACCAGGCATGTCCATGCAAGTTTACATCATCTCAGAGCTTATAATATAAATGAACCTACAAGCAAAACGCACTATCCCAGTGCTCATCACTCCAATCATGCGGAGGCGGCCGAATCTGCAAGGAGAACCAGGTCCTCCTGTGAGTGAACATCATCCCACGTTGATTCGAGAACCACCTCTCATCAGTTAGTATAGTGGCTGGCATTCACCATTTGAACATGAAGACAACGCTTAACAACCAATTATATGGGAATTGGACATGCAGAATCGAAATGCTGTGTCAACATGAATATATGATTGATTTATACGGCCAAACAAACGTGACACATTTTAAGCAGATAAATAGAACTACAGGAACCAGTTCCATAAGCAACAGCTGAAACAGACACAGTTGCATTGACAGTTTCGTGTACCACCAGGTGAATAACCCTAGCAGCACGGTGCAAGAGAACCACGAGAAGATGCACTCATGGCAAATAAGTCTAGACCTCACATATCAACTCAACAAAGCCATCCAAAGGCCACAGCGTACGGATACAAAACTACAAGACCAGAACATAAGCAGTAATGTGTATGCTGTTCATGATACTGACATCTAACATTCAAATAGCAATTGCGGACGATACAATCATCTGTTTGCAGTTTCCTTTGATCAACAGAAAGGGAAAAGAAGCTCGAGGCAAGGGTATTCATAAAATCCATGCAAAGGCAGCACCGGAAAAGTGGAGCTGCTTCAGCCCAAAACTGTATGCACATCGCAGAGCACGTCATACAGGCATCAGCATCTGCCAAACAGAGACCTCATCTCCATCCAACCTTATATCCTCAGTTGCTGTCTCAGCAATGGGACAAAAAAAAGGAAGAATCTGATGGACCTCCGACCACCAGAGCAACAACTTATCATGGTGTGTTATTTTGCGTCCCTTGCAGATGGATAGCATGAAAGCCCCTCCCTCCCCTCTAAGTGATTTCATCTCTCAGCTGCCTCGTGTAGGCCTTATATGAGCCACCATAGGATGGTGCCGCCGTGAAGTTCTGCCTATAGCCCGAACAGCACGCTGTCCCCTTTGAGTGCTAACTGACTCATGCTGAATTGACTCATGCTGAATGTCAGAAGCATCAACAGAATTCGTTGAACGTCTAGGCCTCTCCCTATGTCTTCTATAAGCCCTGCTAAATGGACCTCCAGTAGAGATTCTCCTGCCATGCGTAAACAGGGATGCCAAGAAGTCAAACCCCTCATCCAAACTATCTGACGAGTCATACAAGTCAATTCGCTCATTCAAAGTACGATCTAAGGATGTGAAGAAGTTGAGCCTTTCCTCCAAGTCGAAGTTATCTCCATCCGAGGGCAAATGGTTGTTGCCACCACCATTCAACTCAAGAACATAATCCCCCATGATCACAGCTCCTGGGTTCATGGACCTGATAGTGCTGATGGCATCCTGCCGCTCTCTCTCACATTCAAACCTTTTCCACTCATCTGCAGTAGCAGGATCAACTTCACGAGGTTTCGCTGAAGGGTGCTTCGACTTCACATGCTTGCAAAGCTCCTTATACGAGCCATGGAATGAGCACCCATCATGCATGCAAGTTCTCCTTTTCCGGTTCAGATACTGACGCGCAGGTTCAACCACAGTCCATCCTTTAACCTCTCCACGGCAGAGAGGGCAGGCAAGTTCCATTACACATGGCTGCTTGCTTGATGGCAGTGTGCTCGAGGATAATGGAAGGCCAAGTGCAGACTCAGCCGAAACACCAAGAGCCATTTTTTCCTTTGCGTAAGCTTCTTTAAAGTGTTCAAGGCAGTTAGAATGACGGTAGTTGGTACCACACATATATGGTCGGCAGCCCTTGTGGTGAGAGGTACACAGGAGGAGGACAGCATCATGTGGATGCTCCAAGCAAACTGGGCAAGTGGCTCCTTTCCATTCATTCTTCTCAGAGGTCACTGACATATCATTTCCTTTGTTTGTTCCTTCCGTCTTCCAGGAGCACAAGGGCACATCTGAAGAAGCTGACCTACGTTGACGAGCTTGGAGGTTCCTACCTCTTGGTGATCTTGCCATATTCCAAAGCTCTGGCTGTGCAAGTCAACTGCAAAATGGCAAGAGAAAATAATGTATACATTAGACTACAAATTTTGATGCATGCTTGGGCTATCATGGCCAGCACTCCAGCAAACATATCTATTAGAGTCTTAGAGAGCTTACACATTTTGCTAGCAAGACTCGGTAAAATATGATACTCTATTTACATACTGTTTGAACCAGTGTTACTTTTAATGTTAAGCTGATAGGATCTGTATAGTCTTATTTATAGGAAAGGTAGAGACTGCTTTGATAAGCAAGAAATAAAGTAAATAAAGTCTCCCAAAATTCCCTACCCTTACGTAGGACCAACTTGACCAACATGTCGGACAATGGGCATCCAGTATAAAGGGAAGTTGAACAGTTACCTTGCCACTACAAATTGTCAGTGTGCATCTTCAAACGCACATATCACAATGAAATGCACAAATTGTTAAAGTTATTTGTAATAGCAGTTATCAAGAAATGGAAATACATTTCAAGTAACGAAAAAATGTATTTGTGAAACAACCAGTTTTACAATTTTTGTAGTTTAGTTTTCTGCTATCCTTTTGGAAAGAACTTGCCAAGCATACCCCAAAGTCCAGACAATATGCTATGCTTAATAAACTTTGACTGCTAGTAAATTTTTTGTCTGTTTAGCTTTGTGCGCAGGTATTAAGAAAAGCTATAGCATATCACTATTACCCAAGTGTAGCACTCAATAGGGTAGGGGAATTGCATGTCTCTTCAACCACACATGATACCCAATGAACAAAGGAATTGCATATTGGAAAAATGTAGCAAGCTCAATATGGTAGGGGAATGTAGCTGTCTCTTCTTGAAATCATATAACGACAAACAAAAAAAAAACACTTTGACAAGATAAAATGACAAAGAAAAATCAAAGGAGCTAGTAAAGTTTTTTCCCGCTAGAGTGAGCAACAGTGCACTGCCAGTTAGGTAACAAAGGTAGTGTTATGAACAGAACAAATAGAAAGGGAAAAAACTTAAGGTCAGTTTGGTTCCTCAGGTAGCCTCGCCTCACATTGCCAGCAGGGGGGCCAAACTAGACTTACCTTTGCCAGGATGGGAGAGCCAAATTGGCTAGCATGGGATTGCAAGGAAAAACCTTGCCAGCACAAAAGACGAGGAAGCTTGCCAGAGATCCAAACACTCAACTACGTTTCGTTTCCTTGCCTGGCAAGTTGAGGCAAGGTTTGGATAAGGTCAGCATCCAAACATACCCGAGATATGGACCCGAGCCGCATGTAGAGAGAGTGAGTTGCTTCCATCTCTCAGAAGATCCAGACAAAGAAAAGAAAAGTTTCGTACAAGGTAACGCAAAATACTATGTTTTGTTCTAAGTCACACCAAGTATCTCAAGTATAACACCGTAACCGTAACTGATGGCAATGCTCAAGTTTACTGACACTCACACCAAAAACAGAGTATTAAAAGTCAACTTCAAGGGTTAAAATAATATGTTCCTATGGTCCCTGCCACCGTTTCTTCATGGAGACAATACCATTATGTCAGAAATAGTGGTAATAGTGATAAAAGGTTCGATTTTTTTTATAGACCAGATAACAATTGCCCTTGGCATCCAGTATTTCCTACTATAAGGTATGCTTTGGTCTGTCAGGCTAGTAGATTTCACTAAGAATCCCCTAAAGATTAGGGCCAAATCCTAAGCAAACTGATACTCAGTACAAACAGGGGGCAGACCCAATAAAGGGCAAGGGTGTACACATCTACACCCAATATTTTTTGCAAAAACAACAAAAAAGAATTGTGCGCATAAGCATAATACATGTATACTACACTTGTAAATGGATCAGGTCAGATCCGAATACAAAGAGCTTGGGTGCTCGGGTTTCGCACAGCAGGAATGGAAGAGAAGGGGTGGGCGAAACCTGGTGGGTGCTCGTCGCCGGTGAAGGTCCCTAGCGTAGGGCGGCGGCGACCGCCCAATCGTCGGCTCGTCGCCACCAGAGAGAGACAGAGCGCACGGGAGGGAGGGGCACGGGACGGGAGAACCGAGAGGGAGCGAGAGTATATTGGGGGCAACTGGACTGGAGAACAAAAGCAGGCCGCTGGGTGAAGGTTTCCGGCCTTCCGGCCTTCCGGGCCACTAATCTCTTTTAGACTCAGGCCTGACTAGAAAAACACGAAGAATGGGCTAGTGCTGCTGTCGTTAAAAATCTACCCTAGTTTTCTTGTCCACCCAGAAAAGCGTCCTCCGCTAAGATGGTCATCCTAAATGCACCCCAAAAATTATACACACAAAACCAACCATATCCGAATCAACCGCCCAGATCTGTCCTCAATATTCTCTCTCATTACTCACGCACGATCCAACGATCAGCATATTTTGTATGGCATTCCTCCTCCCCCTCCATGCGCGCGCGGAAAAAGGAATATTGACGCGAGAAAAATTGACGACGAGAAATCCACGGCTCTTTCCACGCTGAGTCCGCCTCCGCTCGATCTCCCGCCTCCGCACCTCCACGAAGCTTCACCGCAAAGACGACGTTGCCTCCGCATACGTTGCTCATCCCTCCTCCATTCCGGTGCTCATCCTTCCCACGTGATTCCCCGCCGCCTCCGTCGTGGGGGCGGCAGCCGGCTCCATCATCGACGCAGGGTGGGCGATCTCGATCGTGGGCAACACAAGTCCGGCGGGTCTTTTACGACGGTGGTGCGGCTTCCAAGACGCGGCACGAAGAACGCGAATCGGCGGGAGCAGCCGAAAGCGGGACGCGACACGGAAGATTGATCTCTCAAGATTAGCGATCCCGATGGGCTCTACGAGGACTCATAAACGACGGCGGCAGCGGCGACGGGGACGCGCCACCGGTGGACGTGAAGACCGCGCGCGATCACCGAGGAGGACGCGGGGAACCTGTACCACACTACCACGGCACATTCAAAACAGACGACCATCACGGCGACCAAGGTTATGTTTCAAATCAATCTGTGAAGTTCCTGTCATATGGAGGTGTTGCCGCTTCTCTGATGATCCAAATGTTGGCTGCCTGGACCAAACAAACTAGCAGTATAGATCGAGTGGTGTGGGTGTGGCCTTTCGTTCTGCCATATAGTAGGGTAGATGCGCAGCTAGGCGATGCCCCTGCTTCTGAAAGGAAATAGAAAGTTTACAACCCTCACAAATATAGTTATATATACGAAGGTAGTATGTTTTGCTAAAAAAGAAGAGATACATAAAGCAACCAATTTTCAGGAACAACTTAATTTTAGAATTGCATATTTCAAGGTTTTCAAGGTCTTACTGATAAAAAATAGAGAAGAGGTCTGCAGCAATCTTTCCACCACTTGTGTGTTTACCATTGTTTTTTGGGCCCATGTCCCGATTTCTCATTAGGTTTTCATATCAAGTATGATGAAAATAAAATTTTGTATAGGAATACTTACCCAATAGATAAGCTACCTATAGACAACACTCTTTCACCCTAACTTTTGTAGTGCTACCCTCAACTTTCTATCTGAGTTCTAATATTCCATTTTTCATTGACCTAAACAGGGAAGCTATTCATCGACTTGACAATGGGGATGCCAACAGATGGGACGACCGCTTTCAGGATATAACAAACATCCAAACCCCATGTACGTGATTAACCAAATTAACATACATACAAACAACACCATGTCTATATATGACACCACCATTCCGAACAGCTTTGCACTGATGAAGATCGCAAGAGGGAGGAAAGAAATAGGAAACAATGGAGTACCGCGCAAGGAAGGAGAAGGGCTGAACAAACCGACGAGGAAAGGAGGAAATAAATAGGAAGGCACGTGAGTATCGTGCTTGTGGGCGGAAGGCTGAATCAAGTGCACTTTCAAACACACCGGATCAAACACGATCTTCGGGAGGTAACAATACGCTATTTAGAACGTGGCTACATCTCCTAGCTGCGCATCTTGTTTTTAATTATGCCCCTCGACAACAATATTGAAAAGTTTCACTGGTACCTAGGTGTTGTGAATGCTTCTTTAGGCCAGATACATGTTTTGGACTCTTTTGGAGATAATATGACAAACTTTAAAGATCTCTAGTATATGGTACGTCTAAATAATTGGTATACATATTTATTTATTTAAAATTCTTCAGTACCTGTTCTGTTTCTTAATTAGCCTTGGTGTTTTGATCATACCAGCTCTTAGGAATGGAAAGACTAATAAAATATGCAACGAGGCTTACAAAACTGGACCAAAGTAAATGGAAACACGGTACCAATATGACATCTTGGCCAATGAAACATAAGATCAAGGTCCCAATGCAAACAGATGGGTAAAATATCTTTACGTTTTGTGTATATGTCATTGCCTAACCATTATCTATATGCCTCATATTTGATTGTTTGGAATATTGCCCAGCTATAGTTGTGGTTTATGGCTTCTTAATTATATGGAGTATTGGACCGGAAGTACTTTATCTGACCATGTAACCTGTGTACTTACTCAAGAATCTACTTCTAATACATATCAGTTATTTTTTAATTGGTTAGCATATAAGCAATTACTGTTTGCAGGAAGATATAAGTAACTTCAGGTTCAAGCTACCTGCGATCTTATATAACTCGCTGTTAAATGAAATAAGAGGGTTACCGGATAAAGAGCAAAAGACTAAGACCGGCGATGACCTAGATGAACTTGTCGAAGAGCTCAATGACCTCGATATTTTGATGTCGGGTAACACGAAGTTGACAAGGACGCTAAAGTGGACAAACAGAGAAGACCTATTGACGACAATTTATGGTTGTTCCACTTGATCGCCGATGACGAGACTTTAGAGTAAGTCATGCATTCTAAAGTACAACATACTATTCTAATATAGATATTGCCTTTGTCCATTCTAGATTGCTACTCTGCAAGTAATTTGTTCCTTGTCCTTGTTTTCAGGAAAGAGTGGATCTGAAGTACACGACCATATCCAATTTCTTTAAGTCTTAGACAAATTATAAATATTTTAGATG